ATTTAGAAATTTCAATTTAATTGTGTTTACTACTCTTAATAGCGATTAAGAGCACATTGTTCTCATTTGTATGCGATTTATTGGTTGATAACAGTTTCATCTTTAAGATAGTTTGAGAAAAAAATGACCTCAACCAAGCTTTGCTTTATAACTTGGTCACTTTTCATAACCAACGATAGGTTGAAAACAAGCCGACTCCAGTATTATTCGAATTACTTTTACTGGTGGCACTCTACTCACCAGGGACAGAGTGAAAAGAAAAGAAACTGACTCTACTAATGTTCGCTTTATTTACTAGTGGCACTCTAAACATCAAGGACAGAGTGAAAAGTCACTGGTACTACTACGTGTAATGTTTGTTTATTAGTTGGTGATACTCTCACTATCAAAGCCAGAGTGAAAAGTAACTGGTACTAGTAATGTTCGCTTTAGTTACTAGTGGCACTCTAAACATCAAGGACAGAGTGAAAAGTCACTGGTACTACTACGTGTAATGTTTGTTTATTAGTTGGTGACACTCTCACTATCAAAGCCAGAGTGAAAAGTAACTGGTACTAGTAATGTTCACTTTATTTACTAGTGGCACTCTAAACATCAAGGGCAGAGTGAAAAATAAATGATGTTTATTTACTAGTATCACTCTAACCATCAAAGACAGAGTGAAAAGTAATTGGTACTACAAATGTTCGCTTTATATACTGGCATCACTCTAAGTATCAAAGACAGGGTGAAAAGTAAATGATGTTTATTTACTGTTTGGTTTATTAATTGGTGACACACTCAGTATCAAGTTGACCTCAGTAATTTCTTATTTATTTGTTTGTGACGCTTTGACCACTAAAGTCACTAAAGAGGTTTGTGTTTTATTATTTAAGTTTAAAATCGGAGGACAAGTCAGAGGGAAGGTTACCTTTATAAACAGGCCATATCCCGTAAAGGAGCAACAAAATTATATAGGTTATACTTTTAAGCTAAATTCAGTTCAGAATACACACACTGACATTGTCATCTAGAATAAATCAATCTAATAACCCGAGCGAAGCCGGTTACTTTAGCTAGTAGGAGTAAATTTTGTAAAGATCAAAAGTAAAGCCAACTATTTATGAATATGCTCAGTAAAACCTTATTAGTCTAGTACCAGAATTCATTGTAAACTGCATCATAAAATATGGTGTAATTCTAAACCTATTTGTAGAGTAAACTAAATATCAGGATTCGTTATACAAAGCTTTTCTGTGGTCAGGGAATGATAAATGTATGTGTATGTGTTTGTTGAATGTACACTGATAGGAATTACAATTATTTTATCGCTTCTGAATATAAGAGCTTCAAAAAGTTAGTTACAAAGTTGTTCAACATTGGCGTCGCTTTTCATGAATAATGCTGTGTGGTTAAATCTTTCATATCATGTAAATGCCCTCTCGTTGCTGTTAGTAACAGTGCATGAAGCTGATCGTATTGAATAACGTTCTATACGTTGCTAAGCTACAGTTAAAGGTTAACAAGTAAACCTTGTATGTAAAGTAAGTTGCTGTCAAGCTTAACGACGAACGCTTCGTAACAGTATACTAAGCTGAAATATTACCGAACACGTTTTATTTTTTTTAAGTAAAAGTCAACTACATGAGAAAGCTTCATTCTTCAGAAGTGTAATAATGTACAAATAGATACGATCGTGAATCCTGGACACAGAGACGTGTAGTATTAAACTTTGGTGATATAACACTATCTTACGTATACTCTTAACATTTCTGTAGGTGTTAAGACAGTAGGTGTTAAGCCAATATCTTCTACATTAAACGAAGCGTAGCCTATAATCTAACGGAGGCCACCGTGCTTCTGGATTTCTAACGTATTATTACACATATAAAACACGCAGTAAATCTTTGTAGTTTACTAGAAGGAAAATAACACTGTGGCGCAAATGAGATTTCTGGAAATAATTTCATAAATTCAAACGCTTTATTAATAAAATTATGAACACGAGTTCCGTTAAAGTAAGATATTGGAATGACGAAATGTGGACATTGCGATAACGTAACGTTTGATTTTACAACATGTCAGTGAACAGGTTATATGTAGTTCCACGTAAAGTTTTATTACTTTAGCTGAAAGCAGTAAACCTGCTATTCTTGTTTATCTTTTACTTGAAGTAGAACACTCGTTCGAGGAAAACTCCAGTTTTCTAATGCAATTCATTGTTTTCGATATTATCCAGATCTGTTTCTCTTAAGTTCGTGAAGTTTAGATACAGTGTGATTTGTTTTCTACGCTTCTGTTTACAAAATATTACTTTAAAGGTTTAACTATAATAAGCGTTTAAAGATAATAAGATATAAGTACGTAGAAACTCGAATTCGTAACGCCAAAAAATGGGAATGCTTGTGATGAATGCGGCACTCGGATAACTTACACAGGTAAGTTTCTGCGTGTTTTTTTTTTAAGAGGTGTCATTAACATGACCACATACGGGGAGCTCTTTATATAAGCAGTGGTACGGTATGTGTATAAGCATTTGTATATATGTTTATATGCTACCTGTCTATATGGCTGTATAGTACACTTTAAATAAGAGTATAATAAGTAAACTATATATACGTGCATATTATAGTTAATGAAACCCGATAACCTAAGTCAGTAAACTATATATATTTATACTACAGTTAATGAAACCCGATAACCTAAATGCTGTCAGGAGATAAATTTCCTTCTGATCAAGGAAAATTGATCTCAAAACGCATTGGGTTTCATTAGTGTGTTCCAGCTACTATCATGTGATCATACATAGTTTCAAGAAGTAACGAAATTTTCTCTCCGCCATTTTATAAACGTCAAACAAAGTTCAACTAATATAATTTTATTAATTAAGAAAGATTAGTGATACTTGCTTTAAAAATAATTAATTTACTTTATAAGAATATCGATATTTATCACGAGAAACAGGAAAGAACTGTTCAAAAAATGTTCTCTCTCACCATACATTTTCATAGAACCTCCTAAGCTAATTAGTAGTGTTAAATTGGAACCTAAGGTGGACAATTGTGTATTGTATTGTAACATGTTTGATCATTAGGTTCTATATATGGTTGAGTACATTATATTCAACGATTTTTAATATACAAAAACCATCAAATCACCTAAAAGCCGATATAAAGTTAAGGTAGAATGGCATGTTTTAGATTTGCATTCCCCCCCCCCTCAATAATGATCACTTTTTTTGATAGTATATGTAACGGCCCTTTCCAATGCAAAACACCCATACACTCAGATCATAAAGATATGTTCAGATCGGGATTTTTAGAATTTCCAAGACGGGGATATCATTTATACTTAATGGCATTAGAAAACAAAGGGATGTGGATAAACTTTGGGAACCGGAGCTATCCAGAAGCAGACTTGCAATAAGTCTTACCACAGCCGAAGTAAGCAAAGTTCAGAGGCATAATTTGCTCAAGTGTCTCACGCAACAGTAAGCAACATAATCAAATTCCTCCCGCGACATATCTTTTTACTGTAGCATACCTCAAGCAGTTGAACAAAGAAATGGGTATTCATGCTATCCCACACAAAGACATATCAATCAAGTCGCCTGCATGGAATCCTATGCGATCAGACTTTTGAAACGGCGCTGGGAACTGTCGTCCTAGCATACTAGATAATGGAAAAATCGCAGGGAGGAGAGGTGTAATTTCGAATGACAGCTTTACGATGGGGACCTTTTGCAATGGAAACTATACCGCAGGACTATTTGTGTGGAATTATTAAGAACATAAAAATATTTCAAATATTTTAACTCAGTGAACTGGGGAAAGACGCGTGAAAAATGTTTTTATTTTAATACAAATTAATTTTTTATTAATTAGAGTTAAGGTTTCTAATATCAGTTGCTATTTTTCGTTTACCGAAAAAACTTTAAAAAACGAAAAGAGGGACATTTTCGGAACGAACTAAGCCTAAATTTAATCCTTTGATTCATCATTTTACACCACTTTATATACTAGACAATCACTGGCGGCACTGTTCTAAAAAGGATCATTGAAACAAATAAGAGTTGTTATGCATGCAAAGTAAATGATCAATAAAATACCTGTTTACACGATAAAAATATGAATTTTCGAAGCCATCGCAAATTCTTTATAGGAAAAAACTCTTTTTTTAAATGTAACAGATGCAGAAATAAATTAGATAAATTAATGTTTGAAATCGTATTAGCAAGAGTTATTTCAATTCTCAAAACAAATATTAGGGTAAAGAAAAGTAGAACTGTTTAAAAGCACTAAATCTCAAACTAGATATGTAAATGTTCGAAATAGTGCAATATAACTATCGAAATAAATAAAATATCCAGACGCGATTATCGTACACAAGCAACGCCAGACACCAACGTAAGTGATATGTCAAACAAAATGTACGAGAAAACGCGTGGAATATCACGTTATCGTTAAATGGTTAAAAATCGTACAGAAATAAACCTAGCGGACAAAGAACTAAGTTTGTAAGACATTTTGAAATCATAAACTTTTTAATATAATTTTCATGTTAGGATTCAAATAAAACAATAGATAACCATTTCGATAAATATAACGTTTAGATAAAAACATTATAACTATTACAACTGGTTTTGGAATTCATTGTGCATTAATTACTATTTATCAAAACAAAACCAGAACTGTTTGTAGTTTATTTTTCAATTGCCATTTGTATGGAATGATTTGTGTAAATATATTTTACGTTACTTATAAATAGTTTTGTTGATTTTATCAGAATCACTTTATCTAAGAAGTTTCAAATATTTAGTGTATAAAGAATTTTTGAATACTATTGTATAATGTTTTATAATATTTAATAATAATGTGTTGAAAATATGCCAAACTCAACGTATTAATATGTGTAATTATTGCTTTAAATGCTATTGCAGGCTAGAATTTTTTTTCTAATAGTTACCAACGTATTTAAAAGCTGTATTGGTGTGCATGTACTTTCCCAAATTTCTTATCTAGTTTACCATGGTGATTAGATAACGAGTTCACTCTACTAGAAGAGCCTAAGAAACTAACTTCACTTGTGAAGATCATCTCAGATTCAGGTATACAGAAAATGATATTAAAATCCATTATGTTTGTTTCCTACAATTTCTACATTAATGTTCGAATGAGTACTGTGAAAATGCTTTAAAATATTCATATTCTTTCGCTATTGACAAGTTTTGGTCACAACGGTATATTTTGATGAAGGTATAAAACATCTTTCGCTATTGACAAGTCTTGGTCATAACGGTATAGGTTTGATGAAGGTATAAAACA